CGTGATAAACTCCTCAAAAAAAAGTTCTGCAATTCATATTCGAGCGTTGATATTTCCATTGTTAGTATATAATCATCCTTGACGTTGGTATTAAACTGAAAAGCCACCTTTTTTACCTTTACAATAATGCCCCATTTGTAATGAATATGTTATCATGGACTGTGGCAGTACTCATGAATATGGGGTCAAGTCGAAAGTGATGTGCTGCAAAGGCATAGTTATTCCTTCGAAACACAATCCACCCTCTGAACAAATGAAGAATTCATCATCTAGACAAGGCTTTGGAGGGCGTGGCTATCACCTCGGCGATGATAGTTTGAACCATTCCCCTCGTAGTCGGTTAATATTTGCTTACTACATCCTTGAGGTATATTTTGTCACTAGGAATGTCTATCTCTGTCCATTGATGTGAGTGCATAGAGGTCACAGGTCGGAATTCTCTTCTTAAACGTCCTAATTTCATAGTTTTCAAAGGCAGTTGCTTGGGAATTTGACTTACTCCTGTGTGTCTAATTATTTGCTCTAATGCTCTTTGTTCTTCAAGACATTCATGGACTGATCACATGTTTTTGTATGCCTGAAAGTATCAAGGATTCTCATTTGTACTAGCCAATGGCTGTGCTATGCTTTGGAGCAGATCAAATATGAAATGAATGATGCTTTCAATCATGTTCATTGTTTCGTTTAACTTGCTAAAGTACGTGACACCGAATTGCCAAATATCTTAGACTTGCCATAATATCACGTCAAATAATGCAATGGGTGTGTCTTATTCACATGCAGCCCTTTTACAAGCATATTATCATGAATATATGCGTGTGAGATGTAACTCTAAATTCTTCATGACAATCTTGATACAAGAAAAAAATTATTACTAATCGATTTCATCAACTCATTTATGTTCAAAGATTTATATCATACTTTAAAATAATTACTTACAAGTATATGTCTTTGATCGTGTATAACCTTGAAAATGTATGTAACTTAGCATTAGTCTCACAACAGTGTACAGTGTGATTGTTTACAATTGTGAGATCAGCTCGTAAGATGATAAAATCAGTGTAATGTTATAATTCTACTTCCACCGTGTACTTATAAAATGATACAGGCGAAAATACTTCGTTTTAGCTTTTTAAGTTAAAGATTTACAATTTTCATTGAAAATGAGTTTTTTCTTTATCTCAAGACAACATTTTTACTCGGATACTTGCAGTGTGTAAAAGGGTATGGGTGCACTGTGTTAATGTGTAAGATTCACAGACATAACAATTGTACCCATTGGACTGTCGATGTTTATGTTAAAGGTAAAGACCAGTAATGGTCATGCGATTGCATTGTGAAAGAAACGTTGTGGAATCGATCAGAAAAGGTCGATCATCTAGCATCTAGCATCTGCAAGGTTCTGGAATCATCAAAATGATAAGAAATTTGGCTCATTCTTCGTAAAGTTACAAGCACTATACACAGAAAGATGTATATGGGACTACCCTATCTCTCTCACCAGACCATGAGAGAAATAAATTTACCAAATATATGAATTAGTAGGCGGTTTCCCGGCAAATTTTTTATCATCATGTATTAGTCAAAACATATTCTTTCACATGATTGGTAATGAGAGCTTCCATTTCATTTTTTGAAATTGGGGCGTTGCCAATACTGGTCTTTACCTTTAAAGAGAGGAAATACTTAAGTTTTATTTGCTTTCAACTGTCTACCAGATGTGGTTTTGGTTTTATTGTTATCATTTTTTAACAAAACCTTTTCATCAATGATTAAGTGATTTTTTATTAATGCTTGCAAATTATTTATTTTCTTGTATACCATACAGTGCGTCCCAGAAAAAACGAAACCGAGAATTATCGATGTTTTATCATAACTTAATCACAATTATAATTAATAAATGACACATATTTGTAAAGTTTAGATCCTCCTATTTCACTTGATGCAAACTCATATAATGCATATTTCACGCATGAGTGATTAAAATTATGATTAAATTATTATAAAACATCGATAATTCTCGGTTTCGTTTTTTCTGGGACACACTGCCTTCATATTTCATATATATAGCTTTTTATTATTGGGTAATAAGCGTGTCATTTGACAATTTATTTTTCTTCGTTTTAAGTGATTTGTAATCATTTTCTCAGATGAGGTTCATAAACCGCAACCAAAAACCCACCTGCCATGATAATTGAAAAGCCTGTTTATTCCCCGTTACAAACAATACTAATCATATGGGGCCAAGTCCAAAGTGAAATGTTGCAAAATGCATTGTTATTCCTTCAAAACACAATCCATCCTCTGTAAACATGAAGAATACACTATTACCAATAACAATTCATTTTACAACAGAATTGAAAGGATTATCAACCGTAGATATAAGCATAAGACTATCCGCTAAAAAAACCCAGAACCTCAACAACGGAGGGAATCCTATCAAAACTAAATAATCGGTCAATATATCATGATATTCACTGGTATGCTGTAAATTAAAGGTATAGAAAACCTTAAATCCAAAACGCTTCTTATTAAAGATGGCAGCCATTTTGCAATCCAAGATGGCCGCCGGAAATGACATATCCATTTCACAAGTGTAATTTTCGGTATTTATCCGTGCATTTCGGGGATCGACAAATCCATTCATTTCACTTATATTCTGTTTTGACTTTCAACGTTTAAGCGTCCTATGATATTTAGTTGGTAATTTAGTTAGCAAACTTACATTTTGTGAAGTATTATCAAATACATTTTAAAACAAATTTATATTGTTTTGTAGAAGTTTGGTTTCTAGTCAATATGCTTCTTTTGCGTTTTTGTTTTGTTACAATGATAGCGAAATCATTTTTGTCGGGTGTATATATGTTCAATTTTTAAAATTTTTAATTTGCCTTATTTCTCTTGAGGTTTTGTTTGAATTGTTTTAAAGTTTTCGTTGTTACTGCTGTTGGTTTGCTTTGAGTTTAAACAAAAATCCTATAGGCCCAATATTAGGATTTTGATCAATAAATTACTTGAATTAGAATTTTAGTTTTACACGGAGATTTGATATTCATAAGGCCTTAATGAGTAGTTATTATAGATTATTAAGGGATTGCAACCACTTACACACATGACACTGACTTAATAAGTTCTCTCTCTTTCTCAATCACACACATACGCGCGCGCGCACGCATGATCGCACATACTCCCACACACTCATATTATATATTTGTCTATATCTGTTACCCTCATTTAAATTGATAACAATTATTATTATGAAAATGATGATGATGATAATAATAATAATAATAATAATAATAATAATAATAATAATAATAATATATCATCTTTCTTTGTAAATATACCGACAAATCTCTCTCATACGTTAGGTTACTTCTTCTGTTCTCCCATTCTTTTCTACGCTTCTATTTAATCCTTTTCTTCAATTTCATTGTGAACAGAGTTTCAATTAATCTTGGGGTTATCTTGATTATAAAGGAATTTTATTTCATTCAATTGAATCGTATTGAAGTAAATCGAAGTAAATACATAACTGAATTGTGTTATGGAATAGCCATAAGAATAGGCACACAATTTGTAAATCTCTTGTAACTTGCACTATGTAAAATTACAGATTTCTTTAATAGACTTATAATTAGTTTTTATTTCTAATGCAGGACCTTAAAGTGACTCGATAACATTGCTGAAGGTTGATTAAATAATTGAGTGATTTTAGAATAAAATGTTACTTATCATCTTCCTTCTACTGTACTAACCCCCTAACATGCAAAAAATCCTGGAAAAAAAATAATCTCAAACCACAAAGATATTAATGGTTTTCTAGGAAGGCGACACTGGTCAACACCCTCTAACAGTGTTGAACAGTAAATTTTCCCAACCGTTTTTCCATGCAAATAAGACAACAACAAAAACGGCTTAAAAAAACTTTCAACACTTAAATGTCTGGAATGATATATAGAACCAATTCATTGCTTTGTGGCAATTCACATTCACCTAAAATGTAATTTAATTGTAATAATATAGTTCAACTTGGGAGAATTAAGGAATCGATCAGATCAGTTTTTCTCAATTTTTTTTTGTTAATAATGGTCCGTTTTCACTCAAACTCAAGATTATCTTTAATTGTACATCTAGTATTTTCTTTCATCTTTACAATGTTACCAAGTCCCTTAAGTCAAAGGTCCAATGATTTTTATTTATTTATTTATTTATTCGTTTTATTTAAACAGGGTAACTCTCTCAGTATTAATACTGTATTTCTGAGAGGCCCTTTCCACCAAAAAAAAGAAGAATTACAAATACATGAAATAACAAACATTAAAAGACCTATACATGATTATATATATATATATATATATATATCAGGGTTATTTGTTTGTTTTGTTTATAGTTATTATATAATCTACATATACATGTACTTAATTTCTTAGTAGTCAAATAAAATGAATTATCTACATCATTGATCATCATAGCTACATCTAGGATATATATATATATATATATATATATATATATATATATATATGAACTACAGTTTCTACAAGGTTTACTTGGGGATTAAATCGATCTTCTGAGAAAAAATATCATGCATTAATGTGCAAGCGTTTATACCAAAAAATTGTAACCTCCCAAGAATATTACAAACAAATATAAGCGTTACTCTGTGTAAACTACAATCAATAATCAGTGACACCTTTAAAAAAAAATCTTATCATACAACATAGTCAATGTAGCTTTAAAACTTTCTTCGGCCAGATGTTTGGTACATCATAATTTCGATGGATCAACAATTAAATTAAATTAAACTACAGAGAACTAAGCCGAAAATAGAATATCTGGCACAAATATTCACCTCCAGTTGACTTCAGTTTATTCAATTGCGACGATAAGATACCACTATAGGTGTGTAAATGGACTCCTAATATGATAATATGAAGCACCTTTCTTTATTTGTTTTATTCGTTCTATGATGCCAAACCCAGTATATTTTGTCTTTCTTCCTTAGCAAAATGACCATAACTTTTAAATGGGCGTACCTATTAATCTAAAATGTTGATTAATTTTCTCTTTGAGCATCTAGCGCTGCTTAATTATTCAAAAGGGAAATTTATCATCATGGAAAATTGTAGGAAGCAAAGAAATGTGGAAATCGAAATATAACTCTCTTTGGAATGACCTGGAATAGTTTCATTATAAACATATTGGTATAGTTTATTTCTAAGACGGCACTAAGATTTCCAGTGGAACAGACCCGGGACAAAGAAAATGCCTTGGACAATATTTGTTTGGGGAGGGGGAGAGGGTAGTTAGAAAAAAGATGAAATGAAATCCATGAGAATTAATGGTTATGTCACTCTATTCTAATAAAAATTCTAATAAAAACTCTCTCTCTCTCTCTCGAAAGGCGCGTATGTATCTAGAAGAACTGTTAGATCTTACTTAGGGTCATCAAACTGCTAAATCATGCTCTTTGGCGAAGCCACATGCCAAGTCCTGCTAGGTACTGTGAGAGAGAAGCGAAAAGTGACGCTGCAGCAACAACGGGCGGCGACTTTGCGATCGATGGCACACGTCCACCAGGGTTACCGGGACCCTCTTCACCATCAACCACATGGATTTTCCAGCCGAGGAAGCGATGGGTGTAGCACTACGAATTTCAAAAGTTTATGATAACTGGTCATGAGTGAGGAAACACGAAGTGCAAATGAACATAATTACTGCATGATTGGAAGAAGAAAAATATTTAGCTTTGCAGCAACCGATTAAATTATATACCTCCCTACTACTGACACATGCGAGTGGTCTGTTTCTGCAACGTTTCAGAGAGATTAAAAATAATTAGCCATGTGCGTGCAAACGTGACGCAGCTGAGCTATAGTAGACCGCCTATAAAACCCGATGCGGTAACAATTAAACGACATAAATATGCCCAAAGATAAAAAAAATACTTCATATTTCTGTATACCAGACATTACTGAGTATGAGGGGCGATCTTCTTGGCGCCCCTCCTTTTAAAGCCCCTCTGCACTAGTTTGGCATGGAGGGATTAGACCCCCTGCATGGTCACTGGCAGGTGGTTATCTCATCAATCAGCTCTTAACTATTAAACATAAGAAAAAGGGCATCATGGGGGAACAACGGGTACCGCTTAGGCATTGTTGGCTGTATAGAGGCGCAATTAAGGTAGCTATAAATAGTGCAGTGGGGGCTTTAAAAGAGATGGGCTCAAGCGCTATCTAGCAATCCTTACCAAGATCGAGCCATTTCAATACCTGTTCCTCCACTATTTATTTCACTTTCGTTTTCATTATATCATATTTCCTTATTATCCCCCATTCTCCAAACAACAATCCTCCGGTGAGAATCGGAAGGTCGTTAAGTGATATGCGCTATATAAATAACGTTCATTATTATTATTATTATTATTATTAAGTGTATTGCTAAGTATGGAGTTCACGATGTCTTGCATGGCTATCAGCCAGATTCATTACTCTTACGTGATAGTACAAGAGATCAGGGGCGTCCATCGGTACGGTCCACACTAGTACGCCAGGCTCACCGGACTGGCAAACAACAGTCAAGGTGTTCTTGTAGTCTTCGAATGATGTGTAGTCATCGGGGCTTCCAGTCTCATCAGTGCTTTCCCATTGACAAAGTGGGCCCTCTATTTTTTTAAAGAGTCAGCGATGAATTTAACAGAATACGAAGAATAATCGGAGAAGCAATGGGAACATAATGAGACGTATAATGATGAAAATGGTGATGACGACGGTGATGATATTGATAATGATGGTAATGATAACAGTAAACAAATATGCCATGCACTGAGAGGCTCTAGTTGAAATTATGGATCGAGGTGGGAGGAATAGCACTATTTATGTCGCCGTGAAATCCATAATTTCACTAGTGGCTTGAAATAGTGCATGATATATTTGTTTTATTTTTTCAAACCATAATATAATTATAATAATTTCTGTCACCGAGGAATCCACAAATTCAAGACAGAATTAAAGCTGGCGCTATACAAATACTGCAGTAGTATGGTGCAGTTACTGCGACTCACCGTAAATTGCACGGCGTGAGCGCCGTGACACCCCCCGAGTTGCCCGCTAGAGGCATTTGAAATCCTGTTCGCTTGCTGAATGCATGCACAGTAGTGTCTTGGAAGAAAATATCTATGACGTCATCCATGGTATAGTGCCATGGTATAGTGCACTATACCATGGATGACGTCACAGTATAGCATATTTTTCTTTTCGGTAACATCATAGCAATGTTATGTTTGGTCACATGATGCTATGTTTACCAATCACTGAACAGGATTTCATTCAAAAAAAATGTAATGTTAATTGTCATGGTGACGGTGATGGTGACAGTGGGGAAGAAAAGAGAACTCGTCAAAAGAGAAAGCAAAAGTGATCAGGGGGGTGTTTCACAAAGATTCTAAGTTAAACTTAACTCTAAGTTGGACTTAAATGTTATGGAGAGCCATTTGCAGACTTAAAATGAAATATATTCAAAAGCAAAATTCAAGTATTTTAGACTTTTCATTACTTTAACATCAAGAACATGAAATCTCCTATGATAATAGAAAATATAAATTATTTGAATCAACATTTTATGCCTTTTAAAATACCTTTAACAATATATTTTCAATGATGCTAACGGCTTTCCATAATTTTTAAGTCCAACTTAGAGATAAGTTTAACTTAGGATCTTTGTGAAACACCCCCAGAACGAGTAGAAGAAGAAATAAGTAATGGAGAAGAAAATGGGAAAGTTTAAACGAAGAGAAAGAAAATAATGGGGAAAAAAGCATGGGAAGAAGAAAGAGACGGTGGAGTAGGAACGAATAAAAAGAACATGGCACGCCTTTTTAAATACTATGCACCAATCTTACTAACCAGAAACTGTTATGGACAGAGACGTTTAAATATAGGTTAAGGAAATGCCTATATGATAAATTATGGCACATGATTAGAAGAAAAACCACGGACGATTGATCAATCCTAGTATAATGACATTTATAAGAAAATGGACAGTAAAAGACAAAATAGTCTCAGAACAACTAAATTATGAATACGCTTACGAAGTTTTGTAGTCGTTTAAGCATGTGAAAAATTTAGTTGTTCCGATTTATGTTCCTTAAGAATGTATCATATTAAAGCTTACATCTAAAAGTATTCATCAGAGGCCATAAATTCAACCACTCCAACTTTCATTCTTGATTTACGAAAAGCAAAAACAAAACATCAAGTTTACAAGGGGTATGAATAGTTTAGTTGTTAACTGTATATTCATGAATATTCATCAGGTATTGAAATACAAAACATAGACAACAGATCTGTTTGGAAAATCGCTTTTAAACGATCAAGAAAACCTTACCTTCCGGCCCCGCGTAGATTGTGATATTCTGTTAAAGATTAAATAAGAGAAGTGAAAACAATGACAATACTTATATTTGCTTAATCTAATATATCTATTGCTTTTTCTCAATTCGCAATAATTCATGCCAGGAGAATGTTTCATCAAGCCTTAAAATTAATCTTAAATTAATTGGATTGGGTCGTCTGTTCGAAAGGGAAACAGAGATATGAAATCGATCTTAGTTGATGAAACGCCAAAGTAATCAGCTTTTCTCGTTCTTTCCTTCTCCCACCCCACCCCCTCTCTCTCTCTCTCTCTCTCTCTCCCTCTCTCTCTGGTTTTCTCTTTCTTTCTCTATCTATCATCTTCTTGACTGTTCTCGAAAGCATTTTAACAACTTTTTGTTTAAAGACGTCATCTTCGACTCTCCTAACGCATGAGCTCTTTGCTTATGAAGTGATACCACCAGGGTTTCATTACGTAATGTTCATCTTGCGATAGTTTGGCTTATCCTCCAGCAGAGTCATCGGTGATGTAGAAACGCCAAAGTAATCATCTTTTATCGTTCTTTCCCTCTCCCATCCCCACCCTCTCTCTCTCTCTCTCCTCCCCCTCTAGGTTCTCGTTCTTTCTCTATCTATCACTTTCTTGAATGTTCTTGAAAGTATGTAAAGAATTTTTGTTTAAAGACGCCATTCTCGATTCTCCTAACGCATTGGTTCTTTGATTATGAAGTGATACCACCAGGGTTTCATTACCTGCTGTTCATCTTGCGAGAGTTGGGCGTATCCTCCAGCAGAGTCATCGGTGATGTAGAATGGATGATAGTTAGCGTTCACTGACGGTTCATCTCCTCCGCTCACTAAGAAAGTGTAGGTCTTACCGCGACTGAGAGTGAGAACAGGAATAAGCTGGCCGTTGATAAACCAAGCAATGCCCCAGCCAACGGATCCTATACCAAGACAAATATCTTGTTATCATGATGATGTCAACGTTTTTTAAAATATTTATCCAGGTTTATTAGAGTCTTGTCTACATTTTATTGTATTGGTTTCTATATGTTGGATAGGCCTCACCATATCAATATAATGTTATAATAGATAAACAAATATTTCACATAAATACATATTCAAATTGATAGACAAATGAATTAATTGATGAATATAAATAGATACATAAATAAATATAAATAATGATTATAACTATTAAATGAAATAAATAGATATTAATTTTGATGGGATCAACGTTCTTTGTGGTGGTAATAATAGTAGATTTGACGTAGTGGGTCGTGGTAGTGGTTATCTGATGATTGAACACGATAATGTTGATGACGATGATGCATGTGGTGGTGGTGACAATGGAAATGATAACACGAGGTGATAGCAATTATGAATATGACAATTTTTTAGGTGTCTTGTACTGAAGAGAAAACAAATACCAGTCTTAAGATACAGTGTCAAATTAGAGTTCAGATAGTGGAGAGTCCAGTCATGAGGTATAGGGGGGGGGGGGATCTAGCATCCCTTCCCGATTATACCACCAGTTCATAAACTATATCTACTAATTCTGAATTACCGGTGATGTAGTTGTACCCTTGCTGACCTCCTGTCAATCCCATCTCCACCGTGAACGTTGCATCTTCTGTCTCCATGATGCCCTCAATGGTCCAGCCCTCCTCCTCCGAAGGTGTGGTCTCGGAGGGGTTGCTAGGTGTGGTCGTGGTGTCTGAGGGGTTGCTAGGTGCAGTCGTTGTCTCACTTACAGGAGCACACGTCGAGCTTACCTGATTAAAGTCGATCTGGGGGTTCGAGTTACCTGGAAACAATAGCAGGGCGATTAAAAAAAAACAGTTCTTATGACTATTTCGAGAATTATGATTATCATGATATCATTCCAGTGCTCACTTTTGCTTTGTCATGCTTGTAGTGTTGCTAAACACTGAAAACAAACAACAATTAGACAGTGCCACCCTAACGCTGCTACCTTATTATTATCATCGTCATCGAGTAGCGTCCGTTTTCCCCACGCTGTGTGGGTTAGTCGTTTCATCTCCCTTATGGTCCTTCTCTGAATCTTCAGCATCCACCCTGATGATGCTCTTCATCTTCCTTCATAGTGTCTCGATCCTTCCGAGGGGGGGGGGGGGGGGGGTTTCACAAAGACTAAGATCGACTTTAGTTGGACTTAACTATGACAGGCCATTCATGCCACTAGTTGCTCTCACATTTGGTCTCTCAATTGTGATCTTTAGATAATATTTTTTTCTTCAATAATGAACTATCAAAACATGTAAATTCTGTAGATTTGGATCCACGATTTATACGTCCCTTGAGACACCAATGCCAGTAAACGGTGAGAGCAAACAGTGGCATGAACGGCCTGCCATAGTTAAGTCCAACTTAAAGTCGATCTTAGTCTTTGTGAAACATCCCCCCCCCCCTCAGGTTTTATTGCAAGGTCTGCCACAGGGTTTTGAGCCGACAACCTGGATATTCATTGCTGTCTGAAGCTAATGGCTTCTTTCCCTCCTGATATCACCCCTCAGAAGCTGAACTTGGGTCAGATATGCGCGGATGAATATCCTTGGAATTCCTTGCTGTCAGCCTATCCCACTCCTGCCACCATAGGAAGTTTGATATTACAGACGCACTGCATTTCCAATAGGTTATTCCAAAATTAAATGCAGTTCCTGTTGAAATTCACCCGAAACTTTAATCTGCCGTTTGCTTGAATCCCGCCCCCCCCCCTCCCCCACTCCGGGGTCGGAATGACCGCATGCGTGCTACCAAAATGTCCAGTAAAGGGGTACTTTTTACGCACCAAAGTCCGGCTCGTACATACACAAAAAGGACTTTACACACCGGACTTAGGGGGTGTTTTCAAAAGGAGGGAACACGCATATGCGTACCCTAAATAACACTGAGTGGGGGGGGGCGGGGCTTGAATATTGTAGGCATTGATTGGAATCATATGCAAGATCCACACGAACAAGAAGAAGGAGGAATGAATCCTGATTTCAAATGACAAATTCAAGCCTTGGAATATCTATCTCTGTACAGTCATTACTTACCTACCTTCTTAATCTCTCGATCCTCTTCGCCTGGTTTAACTCACCATCATAATATTCATCCTCAGTAGCAATAATTCAAACAACTGATGCCTCCTTTCCTTACTATCATGTTTTTCTTTCACTTTGTATTCATTCTAGACTTTTTTGGATTATACAAAAAATATCTTATTTTATTACCTGGAGAGCGCTGTGAGTGATAGGCGACACGGCCATCAGCATTGATTAACCCTTGAGCCCAGATCATGTACGTAGGTCCGGTTGTTGAGATTGCTTTGTCGTAAGTCGCATCTGAAATAAGGTCAATAATTAGGTACATTATCATGGGTACATGGAAGGAATTAATTCCTTGACATGCCGGAGCGCTGTAATGGCAGCCATTAGGCTAAAGCCGGGGTAATAATCGATGCGCCTCGGAATAGAATTTCTAGGTAGACGGCGCATAGAAATAATTTTTTTATTTTTTTATTAAAGCGGGGGTATCTCAATTAAAGAGCCTACATTATACAGATGTAGTAGCGACTCGTCCTAAACGTGTTAAACCCCATTTTCCCCGATGAGACATCATGAATTTCTTACATTTGTTTTAAATGCTTATAATCGATTTGTAATGTTTTGTCGGAAACATGAATAAATTGAAAAATTGAAATTGAAAATGAAATTGATTAGGTTAAGTAGTGGTCATACGATAACAATTGTGACAGAAACTATCTGAAAGAAGTGGAAAAGTTTGATAATGTAGTACATAATAATTAGTGTATATTGTGAAGTTTTGGAATGAACAAAATGAATTGGGGGGGGGGAATCAAAATTGAAAACTCCTGAAGTTCCCATGCACTGCACAAAGAAATGGGTACACGGAACTACCTACAAGTGTTTGATCGAAACCTTTCAGCCATTGTTTGGATATGTTTTGAATATGAGGTCCTTAGAATAGCCGCCATTTTTAGGGTAAATGTATACGATATTCATTAATGAAAAGGCTCACAAATTATGTTTTATCTTTACCAGAACTCAACCCTCTCTTCCATGAATCTATCCCGGGCGTAGTGTGGGTCAACCGGACACAAAAACGAAATGTTAAACGTCCCGTTAGTCATTACCCATTGCCCTAACAGGATACAAGACCACTAATGTTAGGACTTAAGGAAAACGGCAGTATTCATAGGGGTTCCGAGGCAGTCAACCTCCCCAGATCTTCCCAAGTCATTTCAGGATGAATTGAATATGTTTATCTACTCTAAGCTTCCCGTAAGTGAGTGATGTTGGGGGCCATTAGGGGGTGCAGGGTGTTCGACCCCTAATTTGCCAAGCATTCCCCTCAAAATTTTAACATTTACATCGGGGGGGGGGGGGGGGTGGGAGGTTTGTCACAGATTAAGATATCTAAGCCCTCAGCAAATTATGTACCGTCCTATAATTATATGCCCGTAATTACCCACTCCAATTTGCTCACAGCATCATGCTTCCTTCCCAGGTGTTTGTGTTGTTGAAGCATTTTATTTACCTCATTCTTTTTACTCCAATTGCCAGAACGCAAATTACAATTTGGTTTTATAGTTTCATGCGGAGTCGTTTATCAACTATATGTAGGCCTATTCAAATTTATGAATGCTTCCTTCCCAGGTGTTTGTGGTGTTTATGCATTTCATTCACCTGTTATTATTCTTTGTACTCAAATTGTTAGAATACAAAATGCATTTTGGTTTTATAGTTTCATTCAATAAGTAAGTCAATAAAAGAGTATGTTCTGCACAATAAAAACAATGTGTGTCCCTATTGTACAATGTAATGTGTCCCCTCATTTTGTAATAGTTAATTTACCCATTCACATAATGGCACTACCTGCCCAATGAAGCCAGTGGCCCGTGACCCCTGAGCACTCAACACCGTGTGGGAGTCAGTTTGTGGTCAACTTCTTTTATGAGACAAATCCAAGCAAACGTTTCCATATGCAACCAGAGGGCGTCATACTTTATGAACCGAAAAGCAATTTAATTGTCCATAAATTGACAGGTTCCATATCTCACATAGGAGATCTGATCTCATGACTTACCAGTAGCTGCCAATGGTCTTCGATAAACTATATGGGTCATTCCATTATCAATCGATGATTCGACTAGCGTGACGTCATTGTTGGCCGAATTCGATGAGATGACGTCGGGGCACGCTCCACCGCCATTTTGAGGTGAGCACTATATAAGACAGAGAGTAATGATAGAGATAGCAGTTGTAAAATCAAGGTGTTGAAACATCTCAAGTGTTTAGGGTTGCAAAGCAGTACGTGCATAGTACTACAGATACATATCATATGGGAATGTTTTTAGAATTATAGTTTAAGTGATTTAACATTGAAATATATATATAAAATACAAATTAAAATCAGATAGGATTTCTTTTTTAGGAAATCATATTTTTTTAGGATGCAGTGGAGGGAAGATTTTATGGAGACTCGGAAGCCTAGGAGCTGACGTAACCGGTGGCATGGACATTCGTCCCATCAACCCGCCCCCAACACCCCCCCCCCCCCAACCCGCCCCCCCCCCCCCCCCCCTCCGTTTATAGCAATACATGCACCTGAATATGCATGATAAGCACTGTAAACATGGTATGGACTGCAGAGGAAAGCTTACTTGAGCCCTGGAGCCGAGGTGGTAATCAACGGCCTGTGCGACTCCGTTGTCGTCGACGAAGGTGACCACGACGTCGCCACCCGGCATCAGCGTGCTCGTGGGAGATCCACTCACGCCGAATGCGGTGTACTTCCCGGCTTCGCTGGGTGTACTGTGACGGATAACGATGTCGGTTCCGTCAATATACCAACAGACTTGAAGCTCACCCACGAACAGCGTTTCGCAATTGCAGAACTCCTGAAAATAGGACATATAGCAAGTATTCGCTGTCAAAATCCCAATCCATAAATGAGCTATACATTTTGTTTCTTTTGCTGTAGGCATGTGGCGAAGCTTCTGGGGGCTCGCATGGGAGATCATGGTCTTCCATCAAAATAATGGCAAAAATAAAGAAGAAGAAAGAGAGGGGAGGGGGGGGGGGAGGGAGTGAACAAGGGGAGTAAATGGGAGGACATGGCCTTCTATCAAAATAATGGCAAAAATATACACTGTTGGTCATAATGGTGGAATATTTATTTTTACCCCAGTTTAGGGAAGGATTTAAAAAAATTATTTATTTCTAATAGATCAAGATAATGGCATACATTCTCAGATTCTATTGAATATTAATTTGCGAGTCTTTGTTTTGCGTGACTGCTTAATCATATGTGTGCTACTATGCCAATCAGCTAAGGGACCTACGTCCTTAAGTCATAATTGACAGTAATGAGGATTAATGCCTCACAAAAGGGCACTAATATATAGCTGATCGACACGATTTTTATCCTGGGGCCTCACAGTAACGAGGCCATTGCTTAGCCCCTGAATCATGAATGTACGCAGTGTTTGCTAGGGTACGCGGCCCCTTCCACAAATCCCCCAAAACGAAAAAAATGCAATAAATTGTCAAAAATTCATTGCATTTTCCCCGGCCCCCAACAGGAAAATTTCCTCTGTAGGGCCATGCATTATGGTTCAAGGCATGGCCACACAGAGAATTTTTTCCTGTTGGGGGCCGGGGAAAAATGCAATGAATTTTTGACAATTTATTGCATTTTTTTCGTTATGGGGGATTTGTGGAAGGGGCCGCGTACCCTAGCAAACACTGCGTACAGTCATAATTCAGGGGCTAAGCAATGGCCTCGTTACTGTGAGGCCCCAGGATAAAAATCGTGTCGATCAGCTATATTAGTGCCATTTTGTGAGGCATTAATCCTCATTACTGTTAATTATGATTTAAGGACGTAGGTTCCCTAGCTGATTAGCATAGTAGCACACATATGATTAAGCAGTCACGCAAAACAAACACTCGCAAATTAATATTCAATAGAATCTGAGAATGTATGCCATTATCTTGATCTATTAGAAATAAATAATTTTTTTAAATCCTTCCCTAAACTGGGGTAAAAATAAATATTCCACCATTATGACCAACAGTGTAGAAGAAGAAAGAGAGGAGGGGGGAATGAAAAAGAAAAGGAGAGAGGGAACCGCAACCGGAAAAGTAATACCAATGCCACTGCCACCCTCCCCCCCCCCCCCCCCCCCCCCATGAGGCCAGTAAATCTGTGCCACTGGCTGAATGGATCTAAGTTCATTATGAAATTCAAGTAACTATCATCATTCCTAACAAAATAATGAAAGGGGCCTACCTCTAAAACAAAAACTCAAGGGAAATGGTGCATGGCAACCAAGAGGAGGATAAGTGAAAGAAAAGGGACAACACTGATCATGGAAGTATATCTTAAATGCTCCTTCTGGTTTGTTTCTCAATGATTAATTTCATTTCAGATCAATCCTCGTTGGATAGGGTTATGATCGAGGTGCCTTGACATATGCTCCGCGATTTATTTCTTCAAGGTAAGGGCTAGGCTTAGATTAGGGTAAGGTATGATGTTCGGCCTAGAGTTTAAGTTGAGAATTCGGGTGTTGTAGGATATTGAGCAATTATCCTTGAAACAATTGCTGCACGACCGATTTTGACGGCACGCTGAATCTACGTCTTACCATCGAGGGAGTCGTTCTGGCTGTCGTCGTCATACTCGATGTCGTTGTAGTAAGTGTCGGCAGCGGCAAGGGTGGAATGTTGAGAACATTGAGCCCAGGAATGTCGACATGGCCGAAGTCCTCTGTGAATAGGACGCACCACAGTCCGATATGGCCAATGTCGGCTACAGTGATATTGTCAAGGAGAGTCACGGTGACGTTTACTCCAGAGTAACTTTTGATTATCTGTAAACTAAGGGTATATAATTATGATTAATTTACCACTGATATGTTGTGTTTGCTTTTGATAACTGCATCATAATACAAACAAATGGCCTACAAATGATTATAATGATGATGATGATGATGATAATGATGGTAGTTAGTCTAGTAACAATAAGTAGATGTAGTAGCGTTATCACAGGCGGTGCGCCGAGGGGGGGGGGGGCACATAGCCCCCCCCCCCATTTTTTTTGGTTCAGGTACCCTATAAGTGCCCCGTTTTACGTACGAAATATGCCTCCTTTTACTCAAGATAAGTGTTCCTCTTTTCAAATAATTTCCACTTTCCCCTCTTTTAAGTTTTAGTTTTGTTACAAAATGAACGAAAAAAACTTATTTTGTAACAAATGTGGCAGTGCGTGCAGTATGAACACAACTTCTTATCAAGGTTAGTAATTAGTCCCCTCTCCTCCAAGCATCAACTGTTCACTGACCGTGCATTCCGCGGACACAAAACTATATGCACGGACTATAATTTCGTAAACAGAATGAAAATGAGCTCGGTACGTAATGTATTCCGTCCACAAAAGAAAAACATTTTGTAATACAGAATGAATTCGGTACAAAGCCATTTTGTAACAAAATGAATTCGGTAAAAGTCATTCTGTAACAAAATGAATTCGGTACAAATCATTTTGTAGCAAAATGAATTCGGTAAAATGATTTTGTAACAAAATGAATTCGGTAAAAATCATTTTGTAACAAAATGAATTCGGTAAAAAAAATTGTAACAAAATGAATTCGGTACAAATCATTTTGTAACAAAATTTATTTTGTTACAAAAAATTTTAACAAAATAAAATTTTGTTACAAAATATTTTTTTTTAGTTCATTTTGTGGACGAAATTAATTCGGTACAAATTTTGTAACAAAATGAGGTGACTTTATACCGAAAAACTAGGGTAACACTTGGCGCCCCATACGTACAATCGCTTTCCTCTATTCGTATTTTGTTTTCCTTTCGCCTATTTTGATCTTGGAACCAAAAATAACAAAGATAACAAGGCAACGAAGTAAAATAACAAAACAAGAAATCATCATGTAATTCCTGCGTATCACAAAAAGAAAACCGAATTTAGTAAAAGGTTCTCCTCATTAGCTCACGGTTTAAAACATAGATGATTTAAATCATTAAATAAATCTTGGCCCATATGCCATTTTGTCATAGAATAATGATAATATCTTACCTTCCCGTTTCATCTGGTATTTTGTAATCCCCATCATTGTTTGGTGTGTCACCTGGCCCCACCCAGAAGTAAGCGTCTGCAAAATTCAGGATTTATTCAATTATTTGCAAATGAAATTTAAAAGGAGTTTACTGCAAGTCAAGAGTTAGGTCCTACCCAGTAAGTACGCTTCTGCAAAATATTGTTTGCTGTATGCACTGGACTCTACAGGTTTCTTGTAACACCTAATATAACTAATATTTTCTGCGTTCAACCAATTGCACCGGAGGAATTTCTAACTCAACCATATATCACACCTCAGGCCTACACTTTAATTTAAGCCTAAGCTTAAAACTTATCAATCAAAACCCAATCACTAATCGTATACCTTGACGAAACAAGGCCCGAAGCAAACATTCTGGACTCAGTAAACAATAACAATCTATCAACCATTCGATTAACAACTCGGAAAACCAACACATATATCAATTAATATCTTTCGTTAATATCGTTCTCACTCAGGAATGCGGCTGTCCTTGTCTCATTACCCTCTTTTCTTACCCAACTAAAATCAAACTTTTAAACTATGAACACATGTAACAAACATCAACAGGTGATGTTTGGCTATAAATATAATTGAATATATAATCTGAATATTAGGAGATTGATTTGTATTTTCCCTCATTGTAATTGTTTCTATCACACATCTCAAACTGACCGTTTAGTTTTATTCTTCAAATCTTTCTGAAATGCAACATGATAGCTATTATTCAATTCCAATTTCTGCTTTTACTTTTCTTTTTTGCTTTATTTAGACAGACATGCCAGTGGCACCCGAAAGAAGATATTGCAATTTATCGGGCTTAAGATTGTGCATTGTCATCAATAAGTTGTTATTTGTGTCTGTTTTTAATCTGATTATGTATAATATTTTAGGCATTCAATGCCGCATTTCGTGGAGTCGGAAGAAAAGACTTACGGGTCATAGGAATTTCACATTCCTTTTTTTCTTCCAGGCAACTTCGGGAGTGCAGCAGGGGAAGCCAATTTTATTCTTTCATACTGTGTATCCTATGTTGCCATTCTTTTGTACCTTCTATTGTATATTGGACATGCCAAAGAAATAATAATAATAATAATAAAACTAACTAAATCGAATTATTGGCCAACCCGTCAGTATCAGTATTTTAGTAAAGTACTCATAAGATCAATATATCGACTTTGTACTGAGGTGCAGCAAGACATTTATAGAATTATATGGTATCTTACCCGGACCGAGTCCATCGTAGTTCAAGTTTTCAAATCTTATTTTCTTGGGGTCGAGTACCACCACAGCGGTGGCCGATGTTCCATGGACGCGTGGGGAGAATCCAAGAGCTCCAAGGTCGTAAGGGGAAGGTGGGACAAAAGCCGATGGAAATGAAACATGCCCAAAGTCGACCTGCAAACGAACGGAAAATATTAGAATTGTCATCATAATGTAGCTTGTTCAGACCTAAGAAGTTGTGCTAATTATTTCTCTGATTTCTCCACTGCTAATAGACGGTTAGACAGTTTTCTCTAGGAAAATGATCTAATGAAGACCAAAAAAAAAACTTCAGCTATGCATTTTCAATTTCATGCATTATTAAATCTTGCAGGAGGGGCAGAGGGAGAGGGGGAGTGAGTGGAGGGAGTGGAGGGAAAGGGAGTGGAAGAGAGAGGGGGAGGGGAGTGAAGAGGAGGGGAGAGAGAGAGGCGAGGTAGAACGGGAACAGAGGGAAGAATAGGGGAGGGGAGGGAAGGGAGGGGAAGAGTGAGGAGAAGGGGAGGGAAGAGGAGGGGACAGAGGGAGGGGGGGGGTGATGTAGAACGCGAACAGAGGGGAGGCGAGGGTAGGGATTTAATATACACAATGTTGGGCTACGCGCGTACATAGGCCCTATACAGTACTTAGAATAACAAACAAAAACACTTGCAGAGTTATCATAATACTTATTCTGATACTAAGGAGATACATAGATAATTACCCCGAATTGTCGACACCAGACCGAGATCCAGGCGAGGTTTGAGACAGTTTTCGACGACGGTAGAGTTACCGTGATATCGACGTTGGAGTAAGAGCCCAGTTTTTCCTCGCTTAAATGAAACAAGAACCATAATTTATGGAGGTTTGATCTAGTGGATACGTTACCGGACAGTGGATCACATGGTTTGTGATTCGAGTCCCACCGCGACACTAATGTCCTTTGGCAAGACATTAATCTACATTATTTTGCCACGCCATGTGAGGTAAATTGATACCTGGCACGAATTCATTCCATGAATATAATACCACAATGACAAGCATGCTAAAAACGGGGTAATGATTGTGGAGTTAATGCCTGGATTACATTTGCCCCGGGCGCCGTACGATAAATTAGTCTACGATTTTTCGTAGACATCGTAGGAGGCTACGGGCTACGATGTTTGTGTTTACATTATCTACGAGCATCGTGCCATTTATTGTATTGGCCCTCGGGGGCAGGCCGGGGCAAATCCGTACAGAGGCTGCTCGGAGATTGTACGGAAATCGTGCAATTTGCATGCAGTAGCCGTGCAGTCTCCGTAGCCTCCGCACGGAAATCGTACGGAGCCCGTGCAGCTTCCGTGCAAAGGTTGCGCGGAGAAGGCGCGGTGACCGTACAGCAACCTTGCGATAGCTGTGCAATTGCCGTGCGAATGCCCCATGCGTCTACAATCTCCGTACGATTTTCTTTGTCCCCATGTTCACCGAAAAATCGTACGTTTGCTGCACAATCAGTGCGAGGCCTCCGGGCGATGCCCGTGCGGGGATTGTGCAATGCCACCTACGACATGTATACGGGCTACGGGCTTACGATTATTTCAAATTTGTTTTACTTCTCGCGAAACAAAATCGTAAAGGCTGCGGAGCCCGTGAATCCGTACGAAAATCTCACGGCCGCCTCCTGCCTCCGCACAAAGGCCGAACGGAAAAGGGGATACGAGCAGGATACCGGCAACGTAGACTAATCGCAGGCCAAATGTAATCCAGGCATAAGTGACTAAAAGGAAACATTACAATTAGCTTTAAACAAATTGACTTTATACAGTAGGTTTGCGGGTGCACCATGTGAGAGTGAGAGAGAGAGAGAGAGAGAGGATGGAGAGCTAGATTAGAAAGGATACTTAAGTTATGATATTAAGGGAGATATTTAAAAGAAAGAGAAAGGAGGGAAACAGTGCAAAATATGGACAGAGAATTACAATGACTAAAAGACAAATACACATGTACGAACGATCACAAAGTCTTTCGAGAAATCACCACAAAGCCAGTTCAATATATACCCCATATAAATCATATTCGCATTACTTATACGTCACTGTGACGTTCGCACATTTCAATTAAGGATGGACAAGGCTTTTAAACTTGCCCTAGGTTGATTTTACGGTGTTGTTTATTATAATGTTCGCGCATTTCCGAAGGTGGCCGACGAGGGCATTGAAACTTTCTAAGGTTGATTTTTTGAAAGTCTTTAAAATCTTGTTTCTATCAAACATAAATTCTTACGTTCCATCCTCTTTTGGAATGATGAAGCCATCGCCGGATGGTGAGCCCGTCTCTCCTCCATATAGGAACGCATCTATTGATGAGCATAAGAAGAGATGGAGAACACAAATGTGAGACATAGAAATTAATGAGCGTTGTTATCATCAAAGTAGTAGTTTTAGTAGTAGTAGTAGTAGTAGTAGTAGTAGTAGTAGTAGTAGAAGTAGTAGTAGTAGTAGTAGTAGTAGTAGTAGTAGTAGAAGTAGTAGTAGTAGTAGTAGTAGTAGTAGTAGTAGAAGTAGTAGTAGTAGTAGTAGTAGTAGTAGTAGTAGTAGTAGTAGAAGTAGTAGTAGTAGTAGTAGTAGTAGTATTAGTAGTAGTATTAATAGTAGCAGTTTAGAGGGGGAGGAAAACAATTTCGCATTACCACCCGAGTCTTAAACGTTACAAGCAGGCCCAGCGGAACGTTTTTCGAAGTGGGGGGGGGGGGGCTAAAGTATTTACGACCAGAAAGAGCGTAGCTAGCGAAGCGAGTGGAGCGTAAATTGGCGTGGGGTCCATGGGCATTACGGTCAGATGAGCATTCAGGGGCCCGCCTTAGGGCCCCTACTGGGGTTCAGGGGGCGAAGCTGCCAGAAGCACAGGGGTTTTAGCCATTAAATTACGGTCAGATGAGCATCCAGGGGCCCGCCTCAGGGTCCTTGGTGGGGTACAGGGGCAAAGCCCCCGGAAGCTCATGGGTTTTAGGTATTTAATTTCCTTCATATGAGTATCCAGGGGGCGGAGCCCCCGCAAGCTCAGGGGTTGTATATATTTAATAACGGTCAGATGAGCATTTTTTGATACCTCATTTGAGACACTGGCAAGTCACTATTCTTCTTTTTTCTTTAACATATTTTATTTCAAGTGTGTGGGTGTGTGATGGTTGGGGGGGGGGGCTCGAGGACCGCGGAGCCCCGCCGTTTCGCGGGCTCTCACACTTAGGCCTTTTAATAACTATATTTGTTGGCTTACTGTAATTTTAGGAATTTGTCATTTCCAACAAACGTATACAAAAGTATAATTTACAAAAAAAATGAGAACAAATACCGGAAAATCATGTCATTTCAGCAACATTATTTTGTTAATCACTGGTATCGAATTAGAAATGAACCACGTTTGAATTTTATTGGGGGGGAACTGTCCTCAAGCCCCCCCCCCCCCCATCAGTACGCCAGTGAGTAGTAGTAGTAGTAATAGCAGCAGCAGTAGTAGTAGTAGTAGTAGTAGTAGTAGTAGTAGTAGTAGCCGTAGTAGTAGTAGTGGTAATAATAGTAGTAGTAGTAGTAGTAGTAGTAGTAGTAGTAGTAGTAGTAGTAGTAGTAGTAGTAAAAGATGGACGCATTTATTACGTTTAATAACGTTTCTTGGTATTGGTATTGGTATTGGTATTGGTATTGTTTTTCTTGCAACAACGCAATTTCCTCTCTAAACTATTAGGTAAAGCCATTGTACCCCCCTACCCTGAAAAATGATGAACATATTGAATAGATGAATAAATAGAAAAAATATGTTAAACATGGCTTTAGGATGAACATATACAATGATGAATATATTAAAAAGACAAACATATTGGAAAGATGCAGTAGGCGAGAAAAATGAAAATCTTTTGAATTTTGAAATAAGCTCATTTTAAGCCTGACTTGACAGATACCACTGATTTGCACGCATGAGTTAAATAAAAACCACATGCACAGTCCCTTTATCATTATTCGTTTATGCACAAGCAGTGCACTCCATGATACACAGGTGGAAGTATGCTTTGAAAATGGAAGCAAAGACATTTTATGTACCACCTCCATCGCTACATAAGAGTGATTATTTCAAAATGTACAAAGTGGGGCCTCTTCATGTTTTGAAGATCTGCGGATATTCGGGGTCATTTGGGACATGTCCTATTAACCATGAACTGGTCTATTATCATCTGTTTGATTTTGTTATTGAAAACAAGATCAAACACATCATCATAATCTACAGGGTGCAACCAAAAATTACTTATCAAGAATTGAAACTTCTTTCGGGAAGCCTAACAATAAAAGCTGTTTTTTATATTCGAAAAGCATTGTACGGACGATGAACAAATAAGAATGATAATACAACGTCGTTAAGCGTGAGGCCGTTCACTTCCATCTTTCCCCGCCAAATAATCCGAACAAAAGAATCAACTGAGGGAATCAACTATTAAACGAATTTATCATGAGTCCTTGACAAAATATTTAATACTGATTGTCATAGTAATATTGAAGAGCAGCAGAGGCGAACTATTATCGCTACAATTCAGAAATCGTTGCTTTTCCCTCAAAATTACCATGATATATCAAGCTACATAGAACTATATGTGAGCAATAATTTCTTTTTTGCCCCCTGAAATTTGAACATCGCGCCGACCGACATTTAGCTCAGACATTTTTTTTAAACCCAAGGTGCCCCTACTGTTAAGTAGGCCTACTCCTTTATTATTCTTATAATTTCCCCTTTCACTTATTTTCCCCCTTTCTCTTAATAAAAAGAACCAATATAAAATAAAAATTATAAGAGTTTGAGCGGCTAAACAGGTTTCCCAGTATAATGTAAGCCAGTGGAGCAGTGGGTAGGCGAGGAACAATACCCAGACTTTCACAAGCACGAAAAGTGCCCCTTTCTAAACAATGTTTTTTCCTTTCCAATTCTAACTATAAGTGCCCTTTTTCTAGAAAGAGCCCTTTTTATTAAACACCACTTTTAAACTGAATAGAGTATAACGTGTCTTTCCTTTCTGCTAAAAAAGAAGCATCTCTCAACCTACAAAAGTATTATCCCTACCCTCATGACCTTTTGAAACGTAACAGAGCGAAGGTATAAGCTTCGTAATGTACATGCTCTTACTAATATAGGGAGTATAGATAGTATAATGGTATAGACAGCAGGGGCGGCGATTCCTTTTTATGGCCGGGGGGGGGCAAAATGCGAGGGATGAGGGAGCAGTGGCGGAATGAGCAAACAATCTTCATCAACCCCACTCTTACATGTTACATGCAGGCACGGTGGAACGTTTTTCAAAGTGGGGGGGGGGGGAGGGGGTGTGAGGCTAAAGTATTTACTATCAGGTAGAGCAAAGCGAGCGAAGCAAGTGGAGCGTAAATTGGCCCAGGGGCAAATCCGAGGCGGGGGTCAAGGGACGTTGCCCCGTGAAGCTCAGGGGTTTCAGGCATTTATTAGCGGTCAGAATGTTGAAAGATAAATATATTTATTCAGAGATGAATATAGATACAAGAGATAAATATAAACCCTTTTGGCTTGCCATAAGTACCCGAGAAAAATGAAAATCTGATTTTCACGCATGAGTTAAATAAAAACCACAGGCACAGTCCCTACTAAGTAAATATGTCAAAAAAAATGTTGCGGTTCAGAAATTAGGAGTAGTTGCTCTGGGGGAAGTTACTTTTTAGTTGTGATTAGAATAAGGATTTTACAGTACATACACCGTTTTCAGTTTTCAAGTGTGTAAAAGTGCACGTTAATAATTGTATACTGAACTTTTTTCTCCCAATTATCAATATCATCATAAGCATTATCATCACCTTCCTATTTTCTAGTTATATTCATTATCATCATGATTGTCACCACTACCATTATCATCGTTATCGTCATCACCACCACAATCACCACCATCACCATCACCATCACCAACACCATCATTATTACCTTCATCAACATTATTATCATCACCATCATCATCATTACCATCTTCATCACCATCATCATCATCAACATTATCACCATCATCACCATCATAATCATCATCACCATCAACATCATCACCATCATCATCACCATCATCATCATAACCATCATCATCATTACCATCTTCATCTCCATCATCATCACCACCAAAACCATCTTCATCATCATCATCATCCCCATCATCATAAGCAGCATCATCATCATCGTAATCACCAGCGAAACCGTCACCACCATCATCATCATCATCACCATCATCATCATCACCATCATCATCACCACCATCACCATCATCATCTCCATCCTCATCACCATCACCATCATCACAGCCATCATCATCATCATCTTCAAGGCCTCATTTACCTGGTGCAGTCCCGTCGTATGAGAATCCAATGATTCTCAAAGTCCTATCGTCCTCTGCATAAACCGTCCCCTGAACACTGTGAGCGTAAGAACTAAGTGACCCTACCAGTTTCCCGTGATAAGCTGGTTGAGCATCGGCGTGGGAAGCCACTAGGGGGGGGGGGGGAGAAAACGGGTGAATAAAATTAAAAAGCAAATCGATGAATACTGAATTTGAATTTATTAAGTCAACTGTTATCATGCAACAGAAAAAATATTTTTTCATAGGTTGAACAATACACAGCAGAATTAAACATAACAAAAATATGTAAAGAAGTGTGCAATGACCAATATACATTATGCGATCACAAAACAGAAAAAAAAAAACACCAAGGAAGATTTAAGAAAGTTACAGAAACCAATGTGTGTCATAAAATAGTACAAGAACAGGAAATTCCTCACGTTAACTAATTTAAAGCCTTCTTATAATATGTGTATCAACGGAGTTCATGTTTGACTCAGACCAGACCCCCCCCCCCCCCCCATATTAATGCACATGTGTGTAATCTATGTAATAAATTGATTAATTGATATATAATTGATTAAAATGTCTGAATATTCGTTCAAATGCATCTTTTTTTCTTGTATGCAAATCTCATAAATGTGTTCTTGCTACATAAATCATGTCTGATATAAATTGTATCGTTGGCTTAATAGCATCGCCTCTATTATTATCCTTATCAAAATATCGCTATGATTACTTTGTTATTAATATTAAGATTACTACCATAATTATTATCATTATCATGATTATTGTGATGAAGATTATTATTATTGCCATTATCATTATTTTTATCATTATTATTGTTTATCAAAATCCTCCTCTTCCTCCTAATTATCATCACCATTAGCAGCAACAGTAGTAGTAGTAGTAGTAGTAGTAGAAGTAGCAGTAGTAGTAGTAGTAGTAGTAGTACTAGCAGTAGTAGTAGTAGTAGTAGTAGTAGTAGTAGTAGTAGTAGTAGTAGTAGTAGAAGTAGTAGTAGTAATAGTAGTAGAAGTAGTAGTAGTAGCATTATCAAAGTTTGTTGACCTTTTCCGACCTTTTACAGGGACTCTAAATTCCTTGTTAAAAGTATCTATGTTTTATATCTCACTATACCTACCACATTTTGTTTTGTTTATGAATCATAATGCATACTTGCTATTATTTCCAGAGTGACAAATCGTTCCTGTTATTGAAATAGAAAGCCCGTTCAATCCCATTCCCTCATATTCGTTATACACAATATTGTATTAACAGAAAACCAACACTCCTTCTCCCCCCTTTCCTTTTCTTCTCTGCAAGTCACTCTTCTACCTTTTTTTAATGTTGTTATTGTTGAGAGCTGTGGACACGTCAAGCTACTTTGCTTTAAACATTTGAAAGATTGTATCAAACTATATAATGTTCATGAAAATGCATGATGAAAACAAAAAAAGCAGAAACCAATAAATCAAATCAAATCAAACAATATCGGTTGTCTACACAGAATCACTTCAAATAAGCAACGCGTCGCAAAAAACTGTGATATCAATTATAATATCCAAATGCCATACTTACAATGCAGTAAGAAGGCCAGCAAGACAACCATCATTTTGGAGACTGCCATCGTTGAAGTTAGTAATGGCGGGTTCCTAAAGTTCGACCGCTTCCACTTTACGTGTCAGACAGGTACTGCACACAGAAATTGACGGCGCACCGTTTGAGGTTGGTTGCGAAGAACTGGTACTGATTCGGCAAAAACGAAATAAGGGGGAGTATATTGATTTAATGGCACCGAAAGTAGCTTTGATTTTAATGAATAGAGATGGAATGTAGATAATATCATAATGCGCATCCGTATCAACCCGAAACTGGTACACGATAAAAAAAAAAATTATAAACATTATAGTGATTGTGCATTTACCCGTGGAAATAGTCGAGCCAAAGCGAGATAAAGAATAGGAAGAAAGAAAGAGAGAGAGAGAGAGAGAGAGAGAGAGAGAGAGAGAGAGAGAGGGATAGAGAGATATGGGGAGAGAGAAAGAGAAAAGAGAGAGAGAGAGAGAGAGAAAGAGGTAGAAATCACAATTCGAAAACTAATCATTTTATAATAGAACATGCGTCGTTGTGAAAATTATTTAGTACTTGTGCACTTGTCCAGATAAATATTTGTGGCAAAGAGAGAGAAAGAGAGGGAGATAGAGAAAGGGGAGGGGAGGGCGAGAAAGAGTAAGAGAGTAGATGAGATCGGGTGAGAAATACAGAGGGTCTGAGAGAAATACAGAAATCTATAGACCCGAGAGAAAGATAAGGGGGAGAGAGAGAAGGGAAAGACAGATAGTGGGTAAGGGAGAGAGAGAGAGAGAGAGAGAGAGAGAGAGAGAGAGAGAGAGAGAGAGTCAGAAAGACAGACATTCGGGGAGACAGAGACAGAGGAAGAGAGAAATTACTGATTGAAATCTAAAATAAAAAGAAAGATGCGATCGTATCGTGAAGAACAAAATATTAACTACACCAAGTCCGTCTCGTTTGCTGATTTTACTTGACTCTAAACAAGGTCATCAACAAAGAATAAGCAATCCTATTCAAAGCAAAACAAATATCGTCATTCTCATCATTCTCACAATATCACCATAAAGCCAGTCATCTGCGGTGATCCGGCAATTTATCCAGGCTTTATTTCGTCAGATAAACAGAATTACGGTTTTATTTGCGATTGGGTTCAAGGCTAGATTTAGGTTTAGGTTGAGGTTGAGGTTTAGGTTTAGGTTTTGGGTAAGGGTTAACGTTAGAGGTAAGTAAAGTGTTGGTTCCAGGGTTGAAGTTCAGAATTTGGTTGGTGTTATGTAAAAGATATAGACGGCGGAAGATTAGTATCACCGGTAATTTGTTGTCGTAAAACGGTCATACAATACCATACTAGCTTGTTACTAGCTGTACTTATGCAAACCATCATTTCAATCAGAGGTGAGACGAGAGGTGGCAAGGGAACACACAGAAAGAGATAAAAATCACAAATAACAAGTTAATAATGGTACATGCATTGTTGTTAGAATTCTTTAGTACTCGTGCATTTGTCCAGAGAAATATTTGTGGCAAAGAGAGAGAAAGAAAGAGAGAGAGAGAAAGAGACAGAGAGAGAGAGAGAGAGAAGGGGAGGGCGAGAAAGAGGGAGAGAGAGAGAGATAGAGAAGGGGAGGGCGAGAAAGAGGGAGAGAGTGGGTGAGAGCGGGGGAGAAAGAGAGAGGGCCAGACAGAAAGAAAGAAAAGGGTTTAGAGAGAGGGAGAGCGAGAGAGTGAGAGAGAGGAATCGAGGGAGAGAGAGACAGACAGATATTGAAATTTGGACACTAAAAACTAAAATAAATAGACACGAGAGCGAGAGAGAGAGAGAGAGAGAGAGAGAGAGAAGGGGGAGAGAGAGAGAAAGAGACAGAGAAAGAGAAAGAGAGAGAGAGAAATTACTGTTTGAAAATTAAAATACATATAAAGATGCGATCGTATCATGAATAACAAAATATTAACTACACCAAGTGCGTCTCGATTGCTGATTTTACCTGACTGTAAACAAGGTCATCAACAAACCATTATGCAATCCTATTCAAAGCAGAAAAATATCGTTATTCTCACAATTTATTACCATATAATGCATCCAAAGCCAGTCATCTGCGGTGATCCGGCATTGCTCTGGCAAACAATATTTATCCGGGCTTTACTTCGTGTGATAAATAGAGTTAGGGTAATATTTGCCATCGGGTTCAAGGTTAGGTTTAGGTTTAGGTTTTAGGTTAGCGTAAAGGTAACAGCTATAAGTAAAGTGTTGTTTCAAGGGTTGAAGTGAATAATTCGGTTGGTGTTATGTAGGACACAGACGGCGGAAGATTAGTATCACCGGAACATAAAACCGTCATACAAAACCATAGCTTGTTACCAGTTGACGCACTTATGCAGACCTTCATTTCAATCGATACAGCCACAGTATTGTTTTCTTTCATTCTTCTTCTTTATAACATCCAGTGGCGGATCCAGGGGGGGGGGGCCGAAACGGCCGCGCCCCCCCCCCCCCCCCCCCCCCTATTGGCGGCGCAAAAAAAAAAGAGGAAAAAAAGAAAGGAGAAGAGAAGAAAAAAAGGAGAAGAGAAAAGAAAGGAGAAGAGAAAAGAAAAGAGAAGAGAAAAGAAAGAAGAGAGAGAGAGAGAGAGAGAGAGAGAAAGAAAAAAAAGAAGAAGATACCCCCCCCCCCCCACCTCACTCCCACTCCGGGGTCGGAGGGACCGATTTTGTGTTTCCAAAATTTCTGATAAAGGGTTACTTTTCACGCAACGAAGTCCGGCCCGTAATACACACAAATCCGGCCCGCACTGACTTTACACACCGAAGATAAAGGGGTGCTTTCAAACTAAGAGAGGGAACATACATGCGCGTACCCTAGATAACACTGAGTGGGTGGGGGGGGGGGGGGGGAGGGGGGGGGGGGGGAGAAGAAAAGTCGGGTGAGAAAGGGGGAAAGACAAGGAAATGGCGCTAAGTGACAGTAACGACGAATAAGGGAAAAACTGTAATCGGGAGATTTGGGGTCATTCCAGAAGGCTTGGGAAACGTTATTGAATAGAGGGGGCCGGGCCGGCCGCATAAAATCTAGAGCCACGGATTCAAAGTTAAACGTTACAAACAGCCCCTGCTTTTTGAAAAAAATTGAAAAGGGCACAATATTTTGGATGTCTTTCAAATAGAAGCTATATACTGAGCAGCCAAATTTTAAATTAACGGTAGGGCCGCTTCACAACTCTTATTTTGCCCTTCATTTGAATTCAGCTCATACAAACTCGCTTGTGCTTATATTTGAACTCATGTTGGTAGTGATAATGGACAGCGGCGGCGATCCAGGGCCCGATAGAGGGACACGTCCCCCTGGAAATTTAGATATATAGCTAGAAAGAAATATACATGTAGCGGAAAGAACGTACATATTGGACTAAAGGATTTTCTAGAATGCATAATTTCAGCATTCTACATTGCAAAATCTCGCTTAGTCGCTACGCCCCGGCCCTCGCCCGATAACACAAAACTAAGATATGACGCTCCCGGTCGCGATTATTTCATGGTTGGTATATAAAAAGATTTTTTTTTCCCCTTTCATTTCTACTGACCTAATTGTATGCTATCACAATCATGATTGTTTCATTTTCCCTTTAAAGCATGCGTAGCTAGGGGCGGTAGGGGCAGTAAGGGGACGAAAAAAGGAGCAGACAAAGAAACATTTTTGACAAGTCTAAAACGGTACAACAAATCATCTTCTTTCTCTATTAACTTAATGAAACGTTAAGCTTCTGCGCTTTGCGCTGGAGGGGGAAACTGAATTCAGAGAAGGATTAAAAGTCGGGAATAGAACAACGAATTATATTCTTTCTCTAATAATTTCATTAAACTATGAAAGGTCAAAGCTTCCGCGCCTCGCGCGAAAGGGGGAAAATGAATTCAAACAAGGATTAAGAATCGAGAATGGGACAACGAATCATCTTCTTTCTCTCATAATTTAATGAAGCGTCAGAAGCTTACGCGCTACGCGCGGGAGGAGGAAAACTGAATTCAGACAATGATTAAGAACCGAGAACGGAACAACAAATCGTCTTCTTTCTCTAATAATTTAATGAAACGTCAAAGCTTCCGCACTTCGCGCGAAATAGGGGGGAACTCAATTCAGATAAGGATTAAGAGTCGGGAACGGTACTCTTTCTCTAATGATTTAATGAAACGTCAAAGCTTCCGCGCTTCGCGCGGGAGGGGGTATGGAAACTGAATTCAGACAATGATTAAGAATCGAGAACGGTACAACGAATCGTCTTCTTTCTCTAATATTTTAATGAAACGTCAAAGCTTCCGCGCTTCGCGCGGGAGAGGGGGGGGGAGAATTCAATTCAGACAAGGATTAAGAGTCGAGAACGGTACTCTTTCTCTAATGATATTATGAAACGTAAAAGCTTCCGCGCTTCGCGCGGGAGGGGGTATGGAAACTGAATTCAGACAATGATTAAGAATCGTGAAAGGTACAACGAATCGTCTTCTTTCTCTAATAATTTAATGAAACGTTAAGCTTCTGCGCTTTGCGCTGGAGGGGGGAATCTGAATTCAGAGAAGGATTGAGGGGCGAGAATGGAACAACGAATTATCTTCTTTCTCTAATAATTTCATTAAACTATGAAAGGTCAATGCTTCCGCGCTTCGCACGGGAGGGGGAAAACTGAATTCAGACAAGGAATAAGAGTCGAGAATGGTACAACAAATCATCTTCTTTCTCTAATAATTCAATGAAACGTCAAAGCTTCTGGGTATGGAAACTGAATTCAGACAATGATTAAGAACCGAGAACGGAACAACGAATCGTCTTCTTTCTCTAATGATTTAATGAAACGTCAAAGCTTCCGCGCTTCGCGCGGGAGGGGAAAAACTGAATTCAGACAAGGATTAAGAGTCGAGAACGGTACTCTTTCTCTAATGATTTAATGAAACGTCGGGGAGAGCAGGGGGGGGGGAAACTAAATTCAGACAAGGGTAGGAGTCGAGAATGGTACAACGAATCCCCTTCTTTCTCTAATAATTTCATGAAACATTAAAGCTTCTGCGCTTCGCGCGTAATGAGGGGGGGGGGGAGGGGAACAGCGAGCTGCCCGAATATGAATTTGTTATATCTTTTTTCGTATATTTTGGTGATAAATAACACTTTCACAAAATACATATTATCCTCAAATTTTTGCTCGCTCGCTTCGCTCACT